ATCTGAGCCTTTATTTCGTCTACTCTGTCCTTTTTTTTTTTTTCATGATTTCGTTATAACATATTTTTAATCATGCTATTTAAAATAACAAGAAAAGCATCATATAATAATGTTGTATTATGTAAAGGTTCCTACATTCCTGATACCATTCAATTATTTTAAAAATGCTTTTTATGATAGTGACATTATTTAATTATGTTTTATCAAAATAGCGGAATAGTGGCATGTAAGCTATCATATTTTAAATTCTTTTAGAAATTTTAATGATTTATTGCAAATTGATAATGGAATACCCCCAAGCAACCTCCCTTGTTCAATATGCTCAAGTGTTGCAACAATTACTTATGATATCACCAAATATTTCTTACACTCCAAATGATTTTCTTTTGTCTTTCTTTGAAATGGTTTTCAAAAAATTTAAGTAAGTAAAAATACAAATAATTAATCATATAATATAATATAATATTGTATAGGATATACTAAAATAATATAAATTGTAATATAAGTATATCTTTTAATGATGATAAAAACCAAAAGTTAATTATTTTAAGGTATTTATAACAATTTAATGTCAGCTCTGTCTAGTTTTAAATATATAAAATTTTAAATATATAAAATAGATGAAATTTTTTTGCAGACTGGATAAAAATCTTTCTTTTCTGGAAATAGTTCTTCGTTCTTTTAATTTATTTTGTCAAAGAAGCATGTTAGATATTAGGAGAAGGGTTTGTATGATGAGCGAAGAACTTTTCACTGTGTTTATACAAATGTGGAAGTATCAGGCTCCAAATATAAAGGTATACTGAAATGTATACATTTATGCTGAAATGTTTTCTCAAAATAATAAATTTGAATGATTAAAATGATTTAAAATAATTTAGATTCAACTGGTTGCATTTTTTAATAAACTTCTACTCATGCAAAAATATTTTCACAGTAAGAGGAGTTGCTGGCAGGTACTTACAACAACTGATATGTTATTTTTTAGAATAAAGGTTTTTATTTTGGTTATTCGATTACAATTATATATATATATATATATATATATATATATATATATATATATATATATATATATATATATATATATATATATATATATATATATATATATATATAAATTAGGTAAATAAAATATCTTTAAACGCGAAAAAACTTAAAGCTAAATAAATTACGTTTAGAACAAATATTTTCGAAACATCGCTCTTTTATAATTTTTTTTATAAAATTAAGCGATGTTTTTTATATAAAGTAACAACTTACGATTGTTTAAAAAGGAAACAAATATTCTTTATTTAACAAAGTTTGCAAGTTTTAGTTTTATTTAAGCTAAATTATTTTATAAATAATAAAGTTAATTTTTTCAATACCTATTTTATGTTTTGCGTAGTTTGAAAAGTTTAACATATTTGAAGCAATTCTTTTTAGTAAGATAAACAAATGAAATAATTAAATCATTGAATTACTATAGAAATTAAATTAACAATATAGAAATCAACTTAAGGTTAAAAATACTTTATGACGAGGAAGCGAAACTGCTTCACAATATCGCTGGTAATGCTTAGTGAGTGGGCTTTTTAATTTTAATTTGTATTTAAAGCAGAAAAAGGTATAACGAGTTTTAAGAATGGCAACTTAAGCGAAAAATAATTAGAGTTAGTAAACCAATATCTAGTAACTTTTCTTTGTATCTAATTATTTACTATATATATTTGTGTCCTGTCGTGACCTCAGGCGCGGTGTTTGTTCATCTGCGAGTTACTTTGTACGTGTTGTTTGTGTTTAGTAACCAGAAACTTCTTATGTTTGTTACATAGTCTTATTAACTATAACGATTATAACTTCATTGCAAAACGCAATTATTTTTGTAAGTCTTTGTTGAAATCATAAAAATTGCTTTAAAAGATACATTACGATACAGATAAACAAAATTAAATTTACATATTGAATACATACTTTTTAAATAAAAAAATAAGAATATGCTAATAAAATCTATAGTTTATAGTAAACTTAAAATTTTGACAATTTAATATATATTTAAAACTTTAATTTTTGTAAACAAACAATATATTTGTTTTTAAAACAATTTATCCTGGAAATCTCAAAACGTAACAAATCGTTTCTAAAACATTTTCTAAAACATTTCAACAGAATACTCTAGAACTTTATTTCACTAAGTAAGCATATTTTTTGAACCAATAGAATTAGTTTCTTCGTTAACTTGGCGGGTTTTTAGTGTTTGCGAATATTCTTTTTACTCTTTCGCACAAAGATGTTTTGAGAATATTCAAGTTTATTATGTTTCCATGTATGTCCCTAAAAAAATTTTTTTGTTTCGTTCATAAACTTAAATGTTCTCAAAACGACTAAAAAACCTGGCCAGTTTTTCGCAACTAAATATAATTTCCGTGGTCAGTATTTGAGAGCGATCGCTCCCGCTTCCCGACCAAGCCTGATATATATATATATATGTATATATATATATATATATATATATATATATATATATATATATATATATATATATATGTATATATAAATATATATATATATATATATATATATATATATATATATATATATATATATATATATATAACCCTCGAAATTAGGGTTGGTATTTTCTCTAAAAGATTGAGATCGACAAATTATTGCCGACTTCATTTTTCCTAATTCCTAGGGTTGTATATATATATATATATATATATATATATATATATACACACACATATATACACACAGATATATATATATATATATATATATATATATATATATATATATATATATATATATATATATATATATATATATATATATATATATATATATATATATATATATATATATATATAAAAACGATATATATATATATCGTTTTTTAAAAAACCACAAAAACACAACTTAATAAACTTGATTTTTTTTTTTAATAAAAATAAAAACATTCTTAATTTTTTTAAACATCGTCACTTCCAACAAGGCATCAGGCAATAACCTATAGAGTTAAAAGTTACTGGAGGCAAAAAGATAAAGTTTATAAAGAAAGATATCAATTAGCAGATAACTTTAAAGATTGCAAATTATATATACCAGGAAAACAAGATAAAAGGAGTGAATTTCAAAGAACTGATGTTTGAGGAAAAAAACAAGATAAATGAGAATTTTTGGAGCACCTAGGAACAATCACAGTTAATAGGATGAGAATGATGAGTAACACGAGAAAGAATTTTAGTAGATGGTACAAGAGACACTAGCTGTTTAGAATCGTGTTCATTATAGTACTTAAAAAAAAGAGAAAGATAAGCAACATTATGACAATGTGACCATGATTAAAGGTTGGCTGCACAAGCAGGTCCAACTATGTTTAGAATGCGTTTTTGCACCTTGTTTTGTCAGATATGGCAACAGTAAAGACTGATTAGAGATTTATAGAGATAAAGAATAAAATTCAGTAAGAAAGTGGTGAGCATGACAAAGAGATTCAACCTTAGCAGATGCTGTTTTGCAATGGTTTTGATATATGGTTTCCAAGAAGGATTGGAAGTAAGAGTTTTTCCTAAAAGACTAAGGGTAGATAAATCATTGCGTACATTAGACAAGCTTAGACAAGCTTAGACAAGCTTTTAATAACCTTAGATGTAGGAATTTTTGGGGGATTGTTGATGTAAATTAAAAAAAAGTATAGAACCAAATATAGAACCTTGAGGAACCCCTGAAGATACTGGAAATAAAAAAAAGTGCTGTGCATTGAGGACAACTTTTATACTACAATTGGTAAGGAAGGATTCAAAAATCTTAAAGATGTTACCTGATATATATTGTAAGAAGAGAGCTTATGGCGAAAACCAGCATGCTTAACCTTATCAAAGGTTTTAGAAATGTTGAGAGCAAAAGCCTTAACTTTACAACATCAATCATCAATGTACAATAAAACCTATCAGTTATTACTGTTAACAAATCATCAGTAGAACAAGAAAATCAAAATCCATATTGATAGTTAGAAAGTAAGTTATTAGATTCAAGATGAGAGATTAAGTGTTCGTTAGTTAAAGACTCAAAAACCTTGCTTATTGCAAGAAGTAGACTAATGAGATGCTAGTTAGACGAATCAGATTGCTCTCTAGAATTTTTGAAAATCAAGATAACAGTTGCTGCTTTCCAGCAGGCTGGAAAACAAGATTCTGATAAGCACTTGTTAAATAGTTTTGAAAGTATAGATGACAGCTCCGGGTACAACAGGTATGTTTTCTGGATAGGAAGAAGACTTATGATAGAAAGCTTGTGCTTATGATAGGAAGAAGACTAATAAGACAGTAGTTTGTGAGATTGCTCTCTAGAATTTTTGAAAATAGGAATAACAGATGCCACTTTCCAGCAGACTGAAAAATAAGACTCTGATAAGTACTTGTTAAATAGTTTTGAAAGTATAGAGGATAGGAGAACACTTCTGCAAGACTATAACAGCTATGTTGTCCGGACCACAAGCTGTAGAAGAGTCTAAGTAGGAAATCACTTTAGATGCAGAAGCTGAAGTGATATAAATATCATGCAATGGATCAACTTGTTTGTTGGCTGTATCAGGTAGGATTTGATTAGAGGAATCAAGAGATAAGATTGGTAAAACATTCTTAGCAAAAAATTCAGTTTACATTTAGGTGAGGTAACAAAATCAGAGCCATAAAGAGGAGATATAGAAGGAAGTCAGAGAAAGAATAACAGATTTTCCCTTATAAATACTGTTAAAAATTCTTTAGAAGTCTTGGGAGTCTAATTTTTGAGATGAATCACAAGATTTTCTTGACCTGAAAATAGCTTAGACATTAGACAATCTATTTTACAATGGTTTCTAGTTAAAGATCGAAAAATTTATAAGTTATGGGTCTTGACACCTGCAGATTCACTGACACCAACCCATTCAGTGCCAAGAGCCTTAATGTCAACAACAGCAATGATATTGGCTGATGGATTAATTGTAAAGGCTTGTTCAATTTGATCAAAAATAACATTGAAAAGAGTATAATCTTGAGATAAAGGAGAACAAAATAAAGAGAAAGGTGATAGAGTGAAGTGGTGCTAAATGAAAGCACATGAAAGAATAGTCTGTGGATTCAAACCTACTTTCCTGACAAGCACGTGACTATTGAAGTTTTTTTATGAATTAAAGGAAGATAACCTTCAACTATTAGATCACAAGATGAGGCAGCTGAAATCAAATTAGTCTCACAATGAGCATGTAGGTCTCAAGAACTTTGCAAGAGATAAGACTCAACAAAGAAAAGTTTCTTTGAAGAAGTGAAGAATATCAGTAAATGACAGATTTAGAGAATTCGTTTATGGAGATGGTTTATTGTGTTTTACAGTTTTTGATTCTTTAATCATTTTAAAATTGATTAAAGAACTTGACTCAAAGCACAAATGGTACTCAGTACACTATCCAACAGTCCAAGTAATTACCTCCCTACTATTTATATTTACCATGAAACTGAGTCTTAGAGCTGTACCTTTATTAGGAGATAATAGAATGAGCTGCCTAGTCATAAAACAGAGACACAAGTAGAAACCATGCATTGAGTCAAGAAGATCCAGCATTCAACATCCTAAATCGGAAATAATGTATTATAAATACATCTACGCCAGCCTAATGGATGAAGAAGGGTGGCGAGGCTGGTCAACAGATAGAGTCTGTTTACTCCTTAAATCTTTGCCTTGGAGGCCTTCAAAATGCATTTAATGTCTGCCTAAGATGAGTATTTTAATTGAGACACCATTTCTAGCCTTAATTCAACCAAGAGTCCTAAGGTCCTAAACCAAGAGTCCTAAAGTCCTAGCCTTTGCCTAAAAAAGCGTATCCTACAAGGCAGCAGAATATTAATTAGGTTTTTTTATATAGAATATTATTGTATAGAATACTTATTTCTTGTATAGAATACTGTTGTCACCACTGTATTCTATACAGAGATGAATTTGTAGAGGTAATAAAAAATTTGTAGAGTAAGAGTTAATTAGGTTTTTAGAGCAGGAAGAGAGACAGTAAAAGGGTGCAACCTTGCTGACTGACGAGTTTAGCAAGAATGAGTTTGGTTTATTGAATTAGAGATTATAGTTCGTTTGAATAGCAATAATAATAGTATTTGTAGAAAAGAAAAAGAGATAAATAGATAATAATAATAAGATAAAAAAAATAAAAATAAAAATAATAAGATAAAAAAATAAAAAGATAAAAATAAAAATAAAAAGAGAAATAAAGAGAGGCAACCTTAGCTGATGCCAACTTTGCAATCGATTGTATATATGGTTTCCATGAGAGGTTAGTAGTAAAGGAAAGAAAATGTAAAGAAGAGGACTTAGTGAGAGATTTGCCATTTATTAGTATAGGAATAATGACAATTGCGATCATACTGCAAACAACAATTGGATAGAAATGGGTTCATCTGTTTAAGTGGACATAGTATGGAATGACAGAAAGAGTATCAAATTAGTTCTTTGCAAATAATTCTGCCTTATTGTTGGAAGAGGTAATAAGACCTAATGGATATTCAGCTTTTGAGATGCTCTAATGTATATTTTATTTTTGAGGCATAATTATGTATATTCCATATTTGAGCCATCATTATGTGTGTTCTATATTTGAGACATCAATATGTATATGTACAATCATTGATATTTTATATTTGAAACATAATGTATGTTCTTTATTTTAGACATATTGTATATTCGTTATTTGACAAATCATAATTATTAAAATAAATTTTTTATATGAGAAATGAGTTTTTCAGGTGTAATCAAAATACAAATTTTTGCAGTTTTAAAAAAATGGTGTTTTAAAGATAACTTTATTTTAAAAAAATTTATGGAGTTATTTTGAAGTCTAAACATTTTTATTATAAATAGTTTTAACATATCTAATATTAATAAGGGTTTTAGTCTGATATATATATCTTTTGTCTAATATATGTCCAAGTCTATAACAAGTCAATATGTTTTAATTAAATATATGTTTTTGTCACATATTTCAGTTTGATACATGTTTTTTCGAATATATGTTTCTATCTAATATTTTTTTCAGTCAAGCTTATAAATAATTTTTTTTTTTTTTATAAGGAATGTTTGAAAGAGTTGTTTGGCTTAGTTTACCAAGAGTTTTTTTATTTAAGTGGAAGAATCTCTATACACAGGTTTGATTTAGTTTTTTTATATTAATATTGTTATTTAAAAACTTTGGCATATAAAATTCGCAGAATGTTCAACAATGTTTTATACTTATTATTATACATCTCTTTTCAAATCCTTCACAAAACCTACAAACCTTCTACACAACTCTCCTTCACAAAACCTTCTACACAACTCTCCTTCACAAAACCTTCTACACAACTCTCCTTCACAAAACCTTCAACTAATAATACTTAAAAAGACAAGAAGCGATCTTTGTAATAAGTGTTTCATGTTAAGTAGTGCAATGTACAAATTTCTATTTTCAAATAATATTTTGAAAAATATTTA